TCACCGCTCCTGTCATTATTCCGGACCGCTGGCATGGAAGACTAACACCCTCTGGATCCGGTAGAGACACGCGAGGATATGGCAACGGTTGGTCAAACGGCGGCGTCCACCAAGGAAGAAGATACGAACCGACTTGGAAATATCGATCGAGCGTGATCCTCCGCTTTGAATTAACACCGGCGCTGGATAACGGCGTTGGTGTAATCATCGGGCGAACAAGACGACCATTATATTTGATTCTAGGAAAGTATAGAGAGAACCGGTTGGACGCGGGAAAAATTGGGTTAATGACGGCACGATAGCCGGTGTCATCACTGTGTACACAGCTAATTTAGAGGATCGATCCGTTGGCGGGGATCTCTCGCTTCCTGATAGGAAGAGAAGCGTCAAGAAAATGGGTGGACAGGATTGGACGATTATACGGCAAAATACCGGGTTGTAAGTCGGAATGTTGATTTTGTTTGATGCGGTGTTGGAACGATCTGAGAGGTAGAGGAAGGAACGGTGGTGTCGTTGGCCACTGGTTTGGAATGGGCTCGCGTCGATTTCGGGGATAAGTTGGATAGTTTGACGCGAACGGTGATTTAAGACACCGTGGGTGTCATTATATTTCGCTTCCCCTCGTATCGTAATATTTTTCTACGAGAAATTGCACGCACGATGAATCGAGCGATGATCTTATGACCCTTCCGCAACCAAGGGTTCAATTTCGCTCGAAATCGAGATAAAAGTTAAAGTTTAATTTACAACTAACCGAAAGCTATATCTGTCCATCGCTTCCCTCGGAATAACCGAAGGAAAAAACAAATTCTCGTTGTACCGACGAGATTTCTAATCCGTCCTACGCGCCCAGTCCCACGAGCAGCAACCCACCCCTCCCTCCCAAAAAAATCGTAACTAGCGAACTAGCGCATTTACAAATTTATTAGCACGGCTAAACAATACCGCCGGCCCCTCGATATTTCGATAAATCAACGTCAGATAAGCGATCTCGAGACACGCTTTCACATCGGTGAACCACGAGGCCGAGCCAAAGTTGACCCACGGGAATAAAAATCGGTGAAATTCAAGCAAGGATCGGAACAACGACTACGAGAAAGACGAATGTCTCGTGGGAAGAGGAGGAGGAGGAGGAGGACGAAAACGGGACAGGCCGGAGTGGTAGCATTTCTACCTTCTCGTTCCCCACCGAGCAATAGGATTTCTGGGAGTAAAAACACAAGGAGGAATTTCGTTACCAATTTCCGAAACGACGACGAGGACGGTGGAGAAGGCAACAACACGGTGGTGGTCCTCCCCCCCTCCTTCGCCCGGTAGCAATTTGTACAAGAGGCACCGGCACCTCGACTCCCTTTTCGGCCTCCTCTCCTAACTAACCAGAGAAGATTAGACCTAACGGCGTTCGGTATCCCATAAATCCAAGGCGCCGCGCGCATTAACCGTGGAAAAGAAAAGGAGGAGAGGATTTATGGATGTGCCGCGGCGTAAATTCATTCTCGCGGAAATATCTTCCCCCTCTCTCTCTCTCTCCCTATCCTGTCACCGGCGTTATTCCTTCGAACGAGGAATAATCGTGAGATCGTGTCCCTGGATATTGGGGGGAGGGCGAGATGGTTGTTTCGTAACAGGGAGTTGGAGACCGACGTTGGTCCCATCGTTGACCTTGGCCACGGATTAACACGCTTTGGAGAAAATTTAAGACCGAATCTTTTCTGCTCTTTTTCTTTTCTTTTTTTTTTTTCTTTTTCTCGACCGCGGAAAAATCGGTCAGATTTGGAAGTGAGTTTGGAATTTTCAAACTCTCCGGTGGGTTGAAAGGGGCGTTCGTTCGAGGAACAATCATCGTGGAACTCGTTGTTGCACTCGTGTGCGGTTAGACTTCTCGGGAAAGTTGCAGCGATCGAGGAAGCAGAATCGAGTGTTGCGTAATGGTTTTTGAAGTTTGACGGGTTTGCGGGTTGGCTCTCGAAACGAACGTAAAAGATTTATGGAAACATGTTAAACGTCAGAAAATATTAGAATTGGCAATGGCACGTTGAGATTCGCTGAAGAGTGGCCGGAGCCAATATTTGTGGTCTTGGCGGGAAACTTACGTCACTTGTTTCCCGATACGTCAATATTTTTCCACGCTTCGAATTAACAAGCAATCGCCTGTCCCGATATTATCCCGACACGAGCGTTAATAATGATTTTGACGCTTCGAAATGATACGATTTTTTTTTTTTAGTTTTTCCGAGAACAGGTTTTATCCTCCCTCTTCGTCATATTTTCGACTCGATCGTGTTTTCCCTCCCCGTCGATTTAACTCACGATCGCAAACGTCACTTCTCGCTTCCATCTTATGTTTTTCTTTCACTCTTTCTATCGGACAACGAATTTATTCATTAAACTTGGAAGAAGATGGTTACTTTTTTTTCTTTTTTCGAGGAACGTATGGTCGATTAAAAAATTATCTCTCCTTTCCCAACCTTCGTTGAATCTCTGAAACAACAAAACGACTCGTAAACTCGTTGGAAAGAATCGTGATAAGAATGTTACACGAGATATATCGCGTCTCCTTTTCAATCATAGCAATGGGAATGCCAGAAGGAACGATTAAATAGTCGGGGAAACGCATTCGTTTTCTTCGTTAAAATTGGCATCGATAAGCCGTGTTATTATTACGTGTGCGCAGGCTATAAATCTCGTGGAGAGTTTAAGCTGGGGTAAAAATTAATACACTCATTTCGCACGGAACGTGTAATTGTTACTTTCCCTGGATCCGTGTAATTACGCGAATAATTACAAAACGCGCGGCAATAAGATGATTTTGTTGAAAATACGATTATCAGTTTTACAAAGATGAAAGAGAACGTTACTTATATACGAAGAGGAGACGTGTGTCTGTAACAACCGGGTGGATCAACGATTGCCAATTTTGTTTCTATAATTTCACGCTTAATGGTGCTTTTCGGGAAAAGAAAAGAAAAAAAAAAGAAAAAGTAAAAATTAAAAAGAGGAAAAGAAAGAGCTTCCTGTTTGCGAATCCACCGAGTTATTTTGGCGAGCTAATCTTGATCGGTTGAACAGGAAGCGGCCGTTACAAGCGAGAGAGAGACATTGTAAAAAAAGATTCATTGCGTAGAAAAAGAGGTTGATTTACGGTCAAAGAGAGAGAAAAAGAGAGAGATTCGCGAAAGACGCCGTATCCGATTACGATGGCGTTTATGGAAATGCGCATCGAACAACAAAACTGCGACGGGGAATCTTCGAGGGTGACCACTTGCAAGCCACTCACCTTGCCTCCTCGAGATCGGCAACAGAGTTGTGTTGCGGAAAATTGTGCGACACGATAATGTTGTTAATACGAATTATAATCCCGTATTAATATTCCGCGTACTTTTTTAAATCGCAGAGCCGATAAATATTCAGAGAGAATTATTTTTCAAGGTTTTACGAGTCAAGTTGGAAACAGCTTAACTCGTCGTTGCCCCGACGACGAAGAGAAAGAATACGAATGAGGCATAGGCGGGACGACAACAACTCGATAATCAATTGTCTCGAAGGTGGGAAGGGCTGGGATCCGTCACGTTCCAGCAATTTCGCGTCCGCAGAATGAACGATTCAATCTGCGCCGGTGAGATCGCAAATTCGCGTCGTTACACCTCCTATACGACTCCTGTCGCATAACTTTTAAGGCTTAACTGCAGCTTACGTCGCGAAATACGCATATTGCTCGTTGGACGTAGGTAAGCAGATAGCCGAGAGAGAGGAGAGTAAGGCGAGAGTGGGCGTACAAGGCTCCCACGAGGGAGAAGCCAACAAAAGGGCCTCGCCCTTCTAGAAATTCGACAATCTTTCATAGTCGTGCTCCAACCTCGTATCGATAGTTTGTTAACCCTTGTCTCTCGCGTGTAACAATGGAATAGTATGTATATATATATATATTTATACGTACGTCGATCGAGCAGAGATAAGACGATCGAGTCGTGGTTTTTCTTACAATTTTTATTATTTTTTGCTTATTTTTTTTTTTTTTCTTCTTTCCTTCTCTCGATTCTCTCTTCGAATTTTGTAACGTGGCGCGAGAGGCTGGGTTGGGGCGAAATAGGTAATGTTTGAAATTGATACGGTGATATCGATGTATGGAGTTGGAAACTGGATGTCGGTACCTTTAAATTACAGGTGATTTGACGATTTGTAATGCTACCGTATAAGCTTATTATGCAAATAAATTCAGTATTCGGTGTGGGCGGTAGATAATCTTTTCTCTGAAGGTAAAGCTTGTCGTATAATACGGTGGAACGTGTATTTCATATCTCGTGATTATAACCGATCCCTCGCATCTATGAAGCTGCAAGTGTATAATTTTTGAGTTATCGAGGCGATATTTTTCGATTTTATCAAAGTTGTCGATCTTGAAAAATCGACAGAGAAAAATAATCATTAATTTATATGCATACCGCAGGATATTAATTATCCTCACAATACTCGATATATAAATGTTGCAAATTCGTAAAATTCAACAACTGTTAATAAACGGTTTATGATTTAAAGACGTTGTAAATTACAAGGAATTTACATCTGAGCGTACAAACTGGCTGTCGCTTCATAGGTAACGAGATGGGAGAGGGAAATGTGCGTGAAACGTAGTAGTTATGCTCGTACAAGTGGTGAATTTTATCGATGTTTTATATACGTTGCACAGTCACTTTAATCATGAGAGTACAGATTTTACAGGATATCACGGAAAACGTGTGAATTTCATGCCCGCGTATTTGCACGTTCATTCTAACCGTGATATTGAACGCATCCCTTCGAAAAGGAAAAAAAAAAAAGAATTTTCTTCTCTCTCGACGGAAGAAAATTCACGTTTACCGTTTTCTCGATCGTACGAATTCAACATCAAGTTTTGAACTCGTAAATTATTCTCGTTTCGTTTTTTTTTTTTTTTGTTCCGACGCTTGAAGAACTGGAAAAAGATGGTGTTACGAATGTTTCTCCTCTCATTTTGTTCGTAGAAGGAGGACGATACACAGAAAGCGGTGAAGCTAACGATGAGGGAGAAGAGATTTATAAAATTTGCATCGGTCGAGTATGACGGCCAATTGTACATGACGCCTCAGGATTTCCTCGACAGCGTCGTTGAATCCGAACCTAGACGTGAGTATATTCTCCAGAATCAGTTGTCAATCGATCGTGTCGCGATTTCGAGTGACAAATGTTGGAACTAGTCTTAAATCGATTAAAACGATATTTCGAGTTAAAACATTCGTGTAATCCAACGATGTCTCGTTGTAAACTAACCGATCATCTTGTATGCTTTTTAAATCTTGTGGAATTGATGAATATAAGATTCGCGTTTAAAATAAATTAAGCGGCTACAACGTTAACACGTTTCTTCTACTCTTTTCATCTTTTCTTGTTTAGCTTTATTTTAATCGGCAACATTTCACGCTCCAGTAAGAAAAGCGAGGAAAGAAAAACGAGATATTCCGTTTAAAGAGCAATTAACTCGATCCGTGTTTTAACACGTATAATAATTTAACACGAATTATCTCGAATTCTTCCGTGATAACTTCATCGAGTGTAGTGAAAAAATATTCTCTTCTCGAATGTCGAACCATAAATACGCGAATGAAGCGAAAAAAGTAAAAAAAGTAAAAAAAGAAATCGAGAGAAAAAATTCGTTTCCATTTTAACGCGTCGCATATGCGTGCGCGACTACGAATAAAATAAACATTCTTTTTCCTTTTCTTTTCCTTTCAACGCGCTTCTTTGATGCGTGACTTTGTCTGCCGCCCGTGCTGCAGCGAAATTGCAACAATAATAAATAAATAAATGAACGAATGTTCCAGCGAGGCTGAAGAGACGCGTGTTAAGCGACAAGGAGCTGGAGGTGATGAGAAACAGCATCCCCTCGACACGGCATGGAAGTTCGCACATGTTCAGAAATCTTCGGGACAAAGGTGAGCGAGCAAAGATGGCGGGGGGGGGGGCGGAAAAAAGCAAATCGCTTACGATGCTAGTCGATAGACGGAAGAAATTTCAACGGGTTTTAACTCGCGCGTAGGAGAAACGTGCCTCGAGACAGTTTCTCGAGCATGGAAAAAGAAAACATTTCGAATGTTATTGGAGCGAGTGTACCGAGACCCGTTTCTCTCCGGATTTCTTCATTTCGAACAAAGAAACCGCTGCCGATCGTTTCTATCTATCCATCGGCCCGGCGATTGCTTTCCACCGATATCTCTATCCCACGATAAAATAACAAATTGCCCACGTTTTAATCGGATCAATTAGCGGGCGTTTCATTAGCAACAAATCAGGAATAAGAGAAAAGTGGTGGTATCTGAAGGTGGTGGCGAACGATTTACTCGTAACAGACACGAATTCCTTCTCGAAACTTTCCTTCCAACCCGAGCCTCTCGCGTTCCACCGAGGAGAGAGATCGGCGGGGCAATCAATCCCGCCACCCCTACGAGCATCGAATAACAGGGCTGGTGCGACGAGTGAGCGGCGCAGCTGGTTCGAGGCTGTGCCTCTTCCTGCCTTTTTTGTGCACGTTCACCGCACGTTTGGTCGCGCTAATGGAAATGCAAATAATCGCGCATGGAGCCAGTTTCACACTTCCCTCTAATAAACGAGTTCCCGTCACTCCCTCCGTATCCCACTTTCTCTTTTTCTTCCTCGCCTCCAAGATTTGCCCGCTCGTGCTCGTTTTCAACCTCTGAGAATTTCATCGTCCGATGGCCGTATGGACCCGTCTCCTCCACCATGAGATGCTCCGTCTCCTCCTCCTCTTTGAGATGGAATAGGATAAAACTATGCGCGCTATCCTTTACGGGACGCACAGTTGAGGGAGGGAAAATGATTTTTCCCCGAAAACTTTTTTTCTACCTCAGAGGAATCCGTTTGAAAGGCGGGCAAAATTCGAAGAAAATTCGTTTCCTCCCTCTCTGCGCGTGCGTGTTTAGATACGATATTGGTAACCGGTCGTAAGTAACTGGAAAGTAAAGTGTGCGTATGGGTTTCGCGTTACCGCGATATCGGTTTGTTGCTATTCGAAGCCAATCCGAGGCGTGACTAAATGGAATACTTCCTTATTGCACGAACGTGCACCAAGTAGTATATCGTAATTGAATGTATCGTGGAATTTTATGAATGAAGTGTTAAAGTATCGCGCGTTTTACCGACCAGAAAAATCCGTCCTTTTTTTTCGACTAATTGGATTTTTCTTCTTTTTTTCTTTCTTCCTTTTTGCACCGCGTCGAAACGTGACGAATCGCAAAGAAGGAAACTTCACGAACGAAACTCGCTTCTTACTCGCTCGAGTAAAAATACAAATTGGACAAAGATAAATATATCGATTTATTAGCGATCGCGAGGATACGCTCGCCCGTCGGACGAACAAGTTGCCAAGAAACGAATTTCTCTTTCTCACAACAATCCGCTGTTCGAGGAGCGTCGCATTCTTTGGGGAGCACTGTTCGGTGTCGAGTTTTTCTGATGTTTGCCGGCTCGGCGGACAGCTTCATCCGGAGATGATTCTCTAATCCGAGATTCCAAGCCGCTACTTTCTTCTAAATAAAACTACTTTCCTTCCCTTTTTCTTCACGTGAAAACTCCTTTTTATGGAGTGGTTACGGCGCGATCAAAATCGATGCGATCGTCCCCCCGCGCAGGGGGAAAACACGGGAGGGATGGAAAATGTTGCTTTTCGAGTATCCCTCCTCCCCTTTTTTTCTTTTTTTTTTTTTGGAACGCCGTTAAAAGTCTGAGTTATTGGTATTCCTCGATCTTGGGAAAGGGGATGGGAAATGCCTGGGACGCTATGGGGCGTATCTAAGTTGGTCCATCGCTCACCTCCTCTCTCTCTCTCTCGCGACGCAAAGGCGACTTGTCACGGTCGGATGACGAGTTAACGCGATTATCGTGGAAATTGGTATTAGGGATTGGCGTGGGTAGGGTGGTCGTAAACAAAACCCGTTCGCGAGCCGTATACATCATTCTCCCATAAATGGATTTATTTCTTAAATGGGTATCAATCCGGCGGGACACGGTGGCCGGCTCCTTTTAAATCGACCGGATCCCGAGGCCTGTTTCGCCTCGGACACGTAATGAAATTTAACGATCGAGAAGTAATTTTCAAGAGGGGAGATTCGTTCGGTATTTCTCGATCGATTCGTAGTTATCTGTGTTTCCATTGATTTTTTCCCCGATTTGCAACGCGATGTTCAAATTTGTATAATTTACGATCCACTTTATTACGCGGGGATAATAACGTTTTATACATTTCTGCTTTTTTTCTTCTTCTTCTTCTTTTTTTCTAGGGATTATTTCTTACACGGAGTACCTGTTCCTGTTGTCGATCCTGATCAGTAAGTATTTACCAAGTGATTTATTTATCCAGAATATTTGATCTGGGATAGTGAGTGAGTGATATCGTTTCGAATTTTGTTGCAGAGCCTAAATCGGGTTTCCGGATCGCATTCAACATGTTCGACACGGATGGAAACGAACGCGTAGATAAAACCGAATTTCTCGTGGTAAAAACAATTTTTTTTTTTTTCTTCTTAAGATTCCACTTTATTTGCATGCATTTAGGTATTAGAGATCTCTTATGTAAAGATTTCTAATGTTTTCTAAATTCGAGTATGAACACACACGACTGTGAAATAGCCGAATCGAGTCCTGTTAAGAAAATAAATCATCTGGAGACGAAGAAAAAAAAATCACGAGAAAAAAAGGACCAGTGATACTCGAAGATACTAGTAGAATTTGCACGGATGCGTTTATAATTTTCACAGATTCGACAATTATTCGGGGGCAAGCTGAAGAAGAATCGAATCGACGATGAGACGAGATTTGCAGTGAGTTTTGATAAAAGGAATCAATCATAGATGCTCGCTATTACGGTTCAAAATCGTCTCTACGCTTACAATCATAATTAGCTCGCAAATTTCGCCTTTAATATCTCTTAATCTCTTACATTAATAAACTCTATCATAGATAATCTAACATTAGATAATATTCGATCGCATAATTTTCACGAATTTCAGGTCTTTTTTTTTCTTTTTCTTTTTTTTTCCCCCTTCAGAATTTAAAAATCGATACTAATTTATCCAACTAATTATTGTAATCAAAAAAATCAAGAATTAGTAGTTTAATTTATCGGTATTGTTGCTTTTTTCATTCGTTCAAATGCTTGAATAAAAAGTTTGTATTCATTTTTGCTTTTCTATCTATGCTGTTTTTATTGCAATTTCATTTATGGTTCTTGTTTCGTCGTTTTGATTTATAAGGACTTAAGTTTGTGTTTTCTACGTCGTTCTTATTAAGTTCTGATTAAGTTTCGTTATTTTATTAGTTAACGCATAATGCCACCAAGTGAAGAGATCGTTTATAAATCAAAACTTCGTGGCAATTAGCATCAAAACGAGAAAAATCAGATTTTCTCTAATTCTTACGTAAGTTGCTAAAATTTATAAATGACTTATTTGACTTTTCCCGGTGTGGATTTGAATTTTTTGCACTGATTTCGTATTATAAGTTCAAATAAAATTAAGCTGTTAAAAATTAAAAAAAAAAAAAAATTATAACGTAAATAGAAACACACACAACTTGGCCTTCGTTCAATCGTTATAAAGGATATCTTCAAAATGTGGGAATTGGAGATTCCTGAATTGATTTCAAGTAAAACGTTTTCCTTTGCAAAAAGGATTTCGTTACGATTTGGTTATCGAATAAAAAACACTGGTTAATCATGAAATGCATAGACTAGTTAAATCGCGATGATAGTGATGGGTATAAGTCGTCGACCGAACACGAACAAGTAACACGTGTCGAAGGAAATCTATCGAATATTTTTGTATCGAAAAAGAATTTTAAATCGAATTATTTAGAAACAACGAATAAAATAATTCCGTATAAGATTCCGCATTTTATCATCTTTCGCTTCTTTTGTCGCGTTTCTCTTGCTTTGTCATCTTTCCCCTTCTTTTATTATCCTCATCTTCTTCTTTCTTTCGTCATCCTTCTCTTCTTCTTTTAACATCCTTTCTTATCTTCTTTTGTTGTCGTTATTCTCCCTCATTTCGTCACTTTCTTTTCTCTCTCGTTCTTTTATCAATTGTTTTTCATACCCTTTTCCAAATACGTATTATTTATCGTTTATTATTAAAAATTTTCAATATTTGTCTTCTCATACTATCTAATTTGATATTTATTCATTTTTCCTGAATAAAATCTTCGTTGTACTTGTTTGTGTCCGATCGGCGGTATATAGCCAACACTATCGTCGCGACTTAAGTGGTCTACGTGTTTCGTGATTGGTTAATGTTTTTTGTTAATTATTCGCTAACAAAAGTTTTTGCAAAGGAAAATGATGTTTGAAATTACCCGAGAAATGTCCAATTAACCGGTTTTCCCACATTTTTTTGGAGGGAATCGTCTGTATAATAATATCGCAATGCGAATATTAGGTAAGTAATTAGAATTATAATAACCCAATAAAATATAACATTATAATATATAACGAAATCATTATTATTGTGTATTTTAACTTTTAATTAGAAGAATAACATGTCTGCAATCATATTAATCTCTGTTATGCTAACTCTCTTATCATTTATTTCAGACACGTTATGCAAATCCACCTTGTATATACGTTTTCTCACGAAGGTTTCACCTTGAATTATAAAATAGAAATTTTAATCATTCCCTGTTTCTTTCACATATAGATGGAGAAAGTTTTCAGTCATGCATGGAGAGGACGACACGGTACCGAAACTAAAGAAAAATTAAGCCTTTTGACGGAAAGGCAAACGACTCCTGAAGCGATTCAAGTCCAATACATTGACGATGAACAGGTATGCCTATAATATTCGTCAATCAACAAAGGATGAAAAATTGTATTGGAACTGAGATATACGTTATTTGCAGGGTTTGCAACGTCGCCACGCAGTCGATACAAGTCTAATGATACACTTCTTTGGAAAGGATGGAAAGAACGAGTTGAAGTACGAAGATTTCACCCGTTTCATGGAAAATCTGCAACACGAAATTCTAGAACTTGAATTTCACGAATTTAGCAAAGGCCATGATACTATCTCTGAGTTAGATTTTGCTAAAATTTTGCTACGGTACACTCAACTCGACACCGATGAGTACGTTTTTTTCTTACGTATTCCCTGTGTATATAAAATTTACTACCTAATAATAATTAAAATAATTAAAACTTTTAATTATTTAACGCCTCACGCTTACAATGTAAGGTTTTTGACAAGGAATGGAGAAGAAAAGTGAAAAGAATATAGGCGAGATTATGAATAATCAAATTTATATATTTTCTGTTTGTATAGATATGATAAGTATTTGGACAGAATATTGATAAACTCAGATCTTCATATTGGTATTACGTTCGAGGAATTTCGACGGTTTTATCAATTCTTGAACAACCTCGATGACTTTTCGATAGCCATGCGAATGTACACTCTTGCGGATCATCCAATATCAAAAGGTTTCGAAATATTTAATATTTTAAGAAGATTTTTATACGTATATCATCGTTGAATATAACTATAGAAGAATTGTGTAATAAAGTTATTTTTTTTTTTTTTTAGTATGAATTCCAACGCGCTGTAAAAATTTGTACAGGAAGTGTACTTAGCGACCATATTATCGATACTGTATTCGCGCTTTTTGACGAAGATGGCGATGGTCAGTTATCCTACACAGAATTTATAGCGATAATGAAGGATCGATTACGCAGAGGTTTCAAGGTATTTGTCGAAAGCTTACTTTTTCTACGTATTTTAATCATGAAAAAAAAAATGCCCCTAATAAACCGCAACCGGTGCTACATCAATGCATATATGGTTGCCTATTACTTGATAGCTTTATATAAGCTATATTCTTCAAACTAATTCTTGCTCAATTGAACAATTTTTAAAAAATGTAGAAAAGTTTTAATAGAAAACAAAGATTACGATTTTTTATAATGTTAATAATTTCTATTTTTTATTTTTACAGTCTCAACAACGACTCAAAAATTTGGAAGCATTTACTTCTTGTATAAAGCAAGAGATGAAATCACGTTAAATGGTATCAAGTAGAAAGAATTGAAAAGGAAATAAGAAAATCTTGAAACATTTAAGACTTATCGGATGCCAATCAAATTTAAACTTTCCTAGGATTAATATTATTGTGATATTTAAATTACTCTAATTCTTTGAATTTCTACCTCTATTTAATAACCTTTTTCTATTTGTGTGATATTATGATGTAACATAAATAATCAACATAATGAACTAATCCTAAGAGATAGATATAAAATATTGAATAATTATTATTAATTTCTAAAATATTCAAATCTATTAAATGTGTGAACAAATGTTTATTGAATGTTAAATACAAAATATATTTATCTTTAAATTAATAAAGATTCTACTATATGAAATTATATATTCATAATTGTTATGGTTTTATTATAGTTGTAATTTTTTAATTTGATGTCTTTAGCAATTGAATTTATTTTTAAATCGTGAATAAATTGATCAATTGTAGAATGTTAATGATATCAAGAATTAATGAAACAAGAACAATGAACGTACTTATTTGTTAAATTATTTTTCATAATTGCAATTGATATAAATTGTATAATTATCTCAAACAATAATAATAATAATTTATATTATATATACTAATATTATTTATTTATCTAAATATCCAATATCTCGTTATAAAGCATAAAAAAAATGTAACAAGAGAATGGATTTAGATAATGTTAATTTTTAATAAGGAATAAGTCACGTCTAAGCACATTTATCATATTTTATCATTTCGTCTTCGATATAATAATAAATTTTGTCATTCGAATAAGAAGGAACAACAATCCATTTCATTTTCTTCGCCATTCATAGTAAATATATGTATGCAGTTCGTTTTTATTTATTAATATTAAACAATTTGTGTTTTCAGTTGGAAAAATTGATGACAATTTTCTTAGAATTTAACGTTAAATAAAAATTAACGGTTTGAACAATTAGGAATTCCAGTGTCATAAAACAGCAATAAAGCTTTATTATCAATTCCTACGTTGTAAAGTGTCATTCCTCCCACATCCACCGCCAATGGCCCAATTCTCTCTTTTACCGCAGACTGCACGTAGTAATTGTTGTTTGTTATCACTCATCACACTGATTGCCGTCTACTGATCTCATGAGTTGAGCCAGCGAAAAGAGGCACGTCATTACTCGTTCCTGCAAACCGACATCAAACAAACTTCATCGCGAGCAATGATTCCGCAAAAAACTTCCTAGTTTCTTCCCGCAAAGAAAACGAGCATCGTCTAGGAATGCAATTCTCCAACGAGTTTGAGCGATTCAGTTTAAGATTCGAATTGCCGGTTGAAATTGTTGAAATTGTAGCGATAATAGATGGAAGCGTAAACGCGAATAACTTCGTTATAACTTCATTCGTTATAAATTTTGAGAAGTTAAAAATGAAATTTTTAAGAAAATTAATCAAGAAAAATAAATCGACAAATATAAATATTTATAATAGAAGAGAGGTATAAGCAAGTAGGTAAGAACAGTCAGAAGGTTCATCGAAGTCAAAAGTTGTTGTCAAACTTGAACGCATGATATCAACCTTTCTCTCATTGCGGAACTTGATTTGTTTGACGCGATGCTGCAAGTTCTCAGATCGTTGAAATTTTAATTCTTATCCACGTAAAAATAACAGTGAAATTTCTAACTGAAACTACATCAAGTATTCTCGCATTCAGCGTGTAATTATGACGCTAATAAACAAGGAATTTAGATAATCGTAACAGAAAATTGTTATTTTACCAACTTGTGACGAGACATTGAAATTACGAATTGTCATATGAGAAGAATCAAATGCGCCTGTTACAACACACGATTAACAATTTCTAAGTAAAACGAGCAAGCATAGTAAAATGCTACAAATAGAAGACTGGTACCGGTAAGTTTATTATCGTAACGATACACTTTTTGCCGTATACTCGATGCTTGATCTGCAACGCGTCGTCAGTTTCACATAGTTTAACTTACCTACGATTTGTTATTCTAATATCGAGCATCAAACTCTCAACAAACAATTTGCTCTAATAAGAACCGATTCCGTGATTAACGATATATTTCCTCCTCCTGACATTTTATCACTAACCATTCCATTCAAGAGCGTTCCATTCATACGTACCAACTTTTAACTTTTAACGAGAAAACTTTCCTTTCGCAACTCGTCTAATCCTGAAGCAAAAACAAAAAAAAAGGATCAAAGCTTAAGAGAAACGCGAGACGTAGTACGAGGGAAAATTGTTGCGATGCTCGATGCTCACTTCGATGATTCTATTGCCCTTGGTGAAGCGCAAGGAGCAAGGGTATGCAAGGATACCGAAGATACCACGTCCAGGATACGCGTAGTGGGGATCGCCGGTTAGGATGGAGAAGGAACGGCGAACGGGCGGCGGCCAGTAGCGTTGTCAGAAGTGTCAGAAGGAAGTGTCGCGCCGGTTCGAGCTCTCGTCAACCCGTCAGTCGCGAAAAGGAAGCGAGTCGTGGCGATTCGCGCGCCTCGCGCACCAATCTCACGTTCACAGCGCTTGTCGGCGTCGCGGTGTTCACCTGTCAGTTGATCGAGTCTTATCTAACAGCGGTCTGCCGATGCGCCACGTGCGCAATGGGTATGATGGGAATGTTCAAGTGGCTTAGAAGTAAGTTTTTTCTGAATTCGTTTTTTTCTCTCTTTCTTTTTTTTTTAACATTTGATCAAAATAGTTTTAACGATGTTGTGCACGCGGCGTGTTACGTATCGTGATTAATTGGACAGTTGAGATTAGAACTTAGACTGGCAATGTGTATCTGAATGTTTCGTATCGGGTAAAGATGAACAATTAACTTTTTATCTGTTTGTGTATTTAAGTCGTAGTCAAAAATAAAAAGTCAGAAGTAATTTTTACAGGTTTTAGAAGAAATTTGGAAAATTTCGAATTTTTACGTGAATTTTGAAATATTGGAATTGTTAATTGGAGATTTGTGCTAGTTTTAACGTGTCACGTGGTATGTTTGATTGTATCGACAGTGACAGAATTTTGCGAAATTTTTAAATTATTTCAAGTTTCGTTTCTTCGCACAACGTGTCTGTAATACGCGTACAGTAATACACATATTCACACATGTTGTTCACTAAATAATAATATGGAAATCACGTTTAAAATTATATGGAAATACGTTTTCATTTCTTCACACACTGCTTAAACAAATGATTTTTATTCGCAATCACAAGATTCAATAGCAAAATGAAAGATCAAACGTATATATCGTTTTTAAACAGCAGCATAATTTGCAACATAATCGTTTATTGCTTCATTGCAAAAAAAAACGACGCCAAAGGTCAGTTTCCTCGATTATATATATATATTTTTTCATTTCAATTAACGTTGCTTAAAACAGTCTGTCTTCGAACATTCAGATAACGATCATGATACTCGACTTTTAATTCTTTATTTTCCCTAACGTAATCGCATGGTAAATTGGCAACCTGATAAGATTTTTTTTTTAAATGGTAATAAACGAAAGATAAAATTATTGCACACGAGAAATATTTCGATTTACAACGTTAACGTTACGTTCGCTTATTTTCTTCCCATTAATTCTCTTTTATATAATATTATATATTGATTTTTACCATAAGTTAAATAAGTAATCTTTGGAGCGCGATGTTTTAAAAATATTCAAAGCATGTTTACACGCTTTCGCGACACGCCATCATATATTAAAGAGTCGAATGTTAATTAGAATGTTAAGTGGATTAAACTTAAGTCGAATATTAATTGGGTTAACAAAGTGGATTGGTAATCGTTCGATCTTCCTTTTTTTTTTTTTTTTCTTTTTCATGAAACAATATTTTAAAAATTGTCTTGGAAGTTTTTTGAAATTGTTTGCAAAACAAGGTCGTTCATTTTTCATCTGTTGAAAAGGAACGTTTATTTAAAGAACAGAATAGTGTCGTTGAACGTACATAGTGTATAAAGCTATAACGGTTGAATTGTTAATGTCACACTTGTTAATACGTCGCAATCTTCGATTCTGTTTACAGATGCTCGTCTTAAAGAGTTTTGAAGAGTAATTATTATACAATTTTTGTTATAATCGATGGATATACAGGACACCCTTATTTGCTTTACGAGAATAGAACATTCTAAACCATCCCTTCCCTTTCTTCTTTTTTTTTTTCATCATTGAAAAGTATGTTTTTGAATCATTAGGCTCTCCGAATTAAGAGAATTAAGAAAAAATCGCGAAAGAAAAGAAATTGCATGGGGAGAAGTTAAAATGCGAAGATAAGAAATTTGTTAGAGATATAATTCATGAATCTAAGCAACTATATTCATCCGAAAATCGCAATAAATTTGTTTTCGAACGAACGAATATACGTTGTACAATGTCAAGGAAAACAGAATCAACCTTCAAGATAAAAACAAATTTGTAATAGACGCAATAGACTATCTAGGGGAGAATCAGTGCGATGATTTCATCATATTTCTCAAACATAAAGTTTGAATTTTATCACTTACCGAGTATTTTCTTTCTGTATTAATTAATTCTGCGAATTTTACGAGTAGCTGGTGTAACGTAATATCGACAATTTTCCTACAATACTATATAAGACTGTGCGAAAAGGAAATAAATGTTAAAGTTATTCAAAATTTTTCTCAAATTTCATTATTGACAATTCGAAATCGTTGAGCGATCGCGTCAGTCTGATCGATTGGATTGAAGTTAGGGTGCTCAATTTTCATTTGTACTCATTTGTACGTGGTGAATCTATCATTGATAGCTCGTATCACGCCGAGTCCAGAACATACAAATTGGTAGAATTAGAATTTTTTCCAATGTTTTTTTTCTTTTTTTTTTTTTTTTAATTCGTTAGTGAAAAGATGAAACAGAAAGGTGGAAACAATTAATAATTACAAATATAACGGTAAATTTCGCATTGCAAGTTCTCATGGTTGTTGTCGCATAGGCCGAATGTCGGCGGCAGGAAACGGTGTTCAACAAAGTGAGACTTTACATTGTTCGAAACACCGGTTAACGAATGAACAGCCACTTCTTTCACTGCGTTACAACAATGAATATGATAATTACGATTACTAAACGTATCACGCGTGTGATACTTTATAACAATTGTTCCATGCTCCAACCTGCATTTGAATAAAATGATCCACTTTTACGTAACGTTACGGAAATTCTTCGAACGGAATAAGTATCTTTACGAGACGAGAAATCGATTAATAATGGAAAAATAAATTTTCGCTTTCCACGTGTTTGATTGTGCGAATCTAATGATTTCTAATTTTAATTAATTAATCTAATTTTAATTATACAAACATATACAATTGAATGCAA